CTGCAAGAGGGCGCTTCCAGGTTTTCCATGGCTGCTGCATAGGCGACAGAGTTTCCGCTTCGTTCTCTGATCGTATTGCCGCTTTATAGCTGAGGCTTTAGGGCAGACGTCACATTGAAGGCCTGCATGGCCGAGTCGAACACCCGATCGTCCAGCCGAGGGACGCTCGGCCCCTCAAGGCACCTCGCAGCCATGTCGTTTGCCTCGAAGTTGAGGCTGTGCGCCGCTCCCAGGGCCGCAGCGTAGTGGTTGCGCAGCAGGAGGCCGTGGGAAATCAGGGTCGTCCCAGAGAAGTTGAAGATGCCATCCTCCTGCAGAGATAGCCGGTCAATAGTTGTCAGAGGGATGGATCTGGATTTATTAGAACGGACACAAAGCCTTTGTTTGCATGAGGGTCAGGCGTTCTCATAGAGACTGGGAAACTCGACTCTCGATTTTATAGTCCCCAAATAGCACTTTGAGATCCTCCAAGTATAGCTGCTGAAGACACTCCTTCGCTCTAACCTGACTCTGATTGTACTCTGCACAGAAGGTTGCTAGATCCTTCTTGTATGAAGTCATCATGCTGACGAATGCATCCAGGGACCTGGAATCAGGAAAGAAGTCCTTCACAATCTCTGAATCGGGCCTCAGGTCATCCACTCGGTCTTCGCCGTCCGAGTTTTCGGTGTCGGAATAGTCGTCCGACTCGCCCCTGGGCGCGTCCTCGTTGCAACACTTCAGATTGGATATACGGGCTCTTCCCCACGATCCTCTCACGATAAAACCGTACAACATGTTCAGAGCTTGCTTCTTTGACATCGCCTCTATGTCAACTAGTTCATCGAAGTCACAATCCAAAGACATCTCCTCCGTGTTCGTAAACTTGAGCAAAGAATAGTGTCTCTTAGCATACCAGCATAACTTGGTCGGTACATACACGATCCGGTATGAATAATCAAGGTCGTACACGGTATCCGAAAAAGCTATGCGCCTGGGCCAAAGCCAAATCTCACGCTCAAACAACCGTTTCTGATCGCAGATCCAGTGATAGTGCACCGTGACCTCCCTTCGCTTCACGCGATCGCCGATGTCTTGTGCGATATCAATAGGCAGCTTGGCGTAGACCGCTTTCAGATGTACATGGTCCATCACAAATCTATTACATCCATTCGAACCACTTTTTAATGTTTCTATTCTGTCCGATATATTCTTTGGGCGACAGCTTCTAGAACGCAAAGTCCTCTGGAAGCATTCGGAAGCAAAACCTCACCAAGCCGTCGTAGGCGAGCGAGCAGCAAGCCGCCTCTCGTCCGGGGGCAATGCGGCAGACCCTCCGAAATGTGGTGACCTCGTAGCGCGCTCCAGCGGTTGTCAGCGACCCTTTGCGGCTCTCTAGCTTCCACGGCCGGCCGCATGGAGCCAGTGGGTTGCTGGGCCGTGGGGCGAAGAAATGTTGAGCCTCGTTGCGTTGTCTGACTCCCTCCGCGCCCCAACGCTCGCAGAGGCTCATGACAGTCGCCCCTCCTCTGCTCATGACCGTGTCGATGTGCTTGTGGCTGTGGCCCGTGTCAAGTGCGGCAGCAGGGAGGCACTTCCAGGGCTCGAGCGAATCCTGGTGGGTGCAGGCGGCCTTGAAGCCCGGTCGGCGACACACGGGGTGGTTGCAAACGAGAAGCCACCTCGCTCCAGCTTCTCGTTGCGAGAGCCTCTCTGCCCGCTTCTCGTTGACCTTCTGCTGGCCCTTCTCAGCAGCCACAAGACTGCTGCCGAGTGGCTGCGGCTCCGTGAGCAACCTCAGGAGGTGTCGACATCGCTTTAAGCCTCTGCAGTCAACGTGGCTGCAGTGCTCAATCTCGCCCGCTTGCACGCAGAGTATCGGCTGCTCCCCCTCGTCGCACAGCACAAAAATCCGCACCTGCCGTCCGCCCCGCCATGCCGCGGCGTCCATGTCTGTGAGGACCGCCCCGATCCGTCCGCTCTGATCGACCGGCAAGACCCACGGCAGGTTGCTCGTGATCTCTCGTGCAAAGGGCCGGCTCTCTTCGAATGCCGCAAAGTTCGGAACCCCACCCTGCCACCAGTCGTCCATCCGACGGGTCTCCTCCAGGAAGCCCACTTCGTGATCTCGGCAACCCCTCTGTCCGCACAGGCACATGAACTTTCCCGTGTGGTCGACTTTCACGAGCCGAGGTGCGTTCACGAGCCCCCTTTCAGTCACCGTGATGTCGAGGAGGCGCCCCTTCGATCGTTCGATCTGCGGGACCAGAAAGAGGCCGGGGGCAATGGCCGTCGGGGGGACCTTGCTCCCTTTGAGCTCCAACAAGATGCCCATGGACCCAAGCTCCGATGGCGCCGGCCCTTCTTCCAGCGCCCTCTTCACCCCGCGCCTCGAAGTCCCCTTGGGCTCGGTGCAGTGCGGGCACGAAGCGAGGTCGCGCCTCTGCACGAAGAATTGGTGTCCCCCTTCTTCGACCGCCTCCCCCGACTGCACCTGCCGCATCTCCTTCTTGTCAGGAAAGACCTCGAACTTGGTGACAAGGTCCTCCTTGGAGACCGAATTCCCCGTCTCGGCCGTCACAAAGGGCCGCCCTTTGTCGTACTCGGCCTCTACGCAGCGAAGGCACAGAAGATGGCCACCAGCCCCTGGGCAGATCAGCGCCCCACCCCGATTGCGCTTTCGCTCCCAGATAAAAGGCTCCCGTCCGCGAACGTAGATGGGATTCTTCCCGTGGCACGTGCTGCCAATGCAAGCGCAGCCAAAACCACTCCGAGTGAAGGCGTCTGCTTGTCGTAGATTGAAGGCCAGGCCGTAATCAAACACGAAGTCGTGGCCCCCTTGTCGAGCGGCAAAGGAGGGGCGGCCGCCGAGCATGCCACCAGCGTTTGGCAGAGGCGGAAGGGCAGCCGGGACGGTCCTGATATCAGAGAAGTCGGGGGCCGGACCTTCGAAGTGGACCGCCGCATAACTCCTGACGGTTTGGCCGGCCGTGAGAGACGCGTGCAGGGCGGCTGAGGCGGCTGGAAGGGTCGAAACAAGCAGCACGTGTGGCTCAGGCTTCACCGTAAGCTGAAGTGGCAGCTCCATCCTGGCAGTGAGTAGGAAACTTGCTTGTTTCAGCCCAAACCCATTCCTCTAAGTTCCGCAGGGGTTAAGAGAGCGACATCATCTCTGTGCGCGCGCGCGCACGCACCGCATATCCGTTGACAGATTGCACCACCTGTCTATACATAAGAGTCGTCAAGCTGGTGCAGATTGACGGATTTGAGGTGGTTCCACCAACAACTACAGCATCTTTGGGCGCGCGCGCACGCCTAGGCGGTTGACAATCTGCACCCACTTTCTATACACAGAGCTTTCAAGTAGGTGCGTTTTGACGGACTCGAGGTGGTGTCACCAACAACTACAACATACCTGGAAGCACGCGGCTGGGTGGCCGTCAATTTGCACCACCTATCTATACACAAGAGTGTTCAAAACGTGCATATTGACGGACTCTGATTTGTCTGTTTCAATGGCTGCAGCGCACCTGACAGCGTGCGGCTGGCTGGCCGTCGATTTGCACCACCTGTCTATACATGAGAGTTCTCAACCCGCTGCAGGTTGACACACTCAAGGAGATCCCACCATAAACCATAACATACCTGGAAGCACGCGGCTGGTCGGCCGTTCATATGCACCCAGCTTCTTTACACAAGAGTGTTCAAGCCGGGCTTATTGACGGACTCCAGTTGTCTTCAACACACGCGTGTTTTGAACGTGCATTTTTACGGACTCCAGATGTCTTCACCGATGGCTGCAGCGCACCTGACAGCGCCCGACTGGCTGGCCGTCAAATTGCACCCACTTTCTATACATTAGAACCCTCAAGCCGTGCATATTGACGGACTCCAAGGATCCCACTAGCAACTACAACACACCTGACAGCGCCCGGCTGGATAGCCGTTAATATGCCCACGTTCTATACGTCAGACTTCTCAAGCCGTGCATATTGACGGACTCCAGGGATCCCACTAGCAATCACAGCACATCCCAAAGCGCGCGGCTGGTTGGCATTACGTCAGCACTAACACAAGGTTTGCTAAGGTCTAGATCGTAAGAGCTTCATGAAGCTGAGTGAAAGGGTGCCCAACTTCACGGCTTGAGTACAAAGTATAGAACTTACTAGTAGCACTTCGCGCATCTTCTGGTGGCCGTAAGTAGACCTGCTTACCAGCTCCGCCGGATGATCAGCTGTAGTAATGCAAGGCTCAGTGGTGCCACTCAGTGGCCGTAGCAGTGGACAGTACTAGGCCCCCAACAAATGCCAAAACAGGTCACTGAACTCCGCTCTCCCGATGCTCTCATAATGCTCGGCTGGTCCGAAAGGAAAGAATCAGCGGGATTCTATTAAAGATGGCTAGAAGCCTGTTGTGCTCCTCAATGCGAGCTCGGGATCCAGTGTGCCCCTTTGTCTGCCAGTTCACTGACCTGGCCCCACTCTGGATCGTATAGCTTATGAGCTCGCACCCCAACCGGGCACTTTCACTGCGTTTTGGCCGAATCTCAGATCGACGGCGCTCGGAGAAACCCTGTCCATCCGACGGCCGGGAGAGTTGGGTGGAAATGTAGCCTCGCGCCGCCGGGCCCATCTTTGGTACTAGCTAGGTTCTTGAGTCCTTAATCTGCTCGTGGAATCTCAGCTTTAGGTCACGACTTGAATAGTGAGACAATCTGGGAGTGCCCCCTTGGCCGGTGTTACGATACAGACACAGTGAGTCGAATGGAATGTGAAGCATAGACCATGAACCTGGCACATCTCTGCAGCCCGAGGAATATGCTCAGGGGATGCTCAGCAGAGTACACCCTATTCTAAACCGTAGTATCAAATGCAGGTCGTATGCGCGACTATAAATAGCAACACATTGATCCGCCATCAGATAGTGCATAGCTTCTCCTATCACGGGCACCCCTTTCTGCTAAAAAATTCGACCCATGAGCCCGTTCGTCGTGATCGGATCAACCTTGGCGAAGAAAAGAGCCAGGTTGTTTGTACGCAGATTTGAGCTGCCTAGCATGTTAGATTATTGGAGATCAGACG